AGAGCTAACCCAGTCCTGGTGGGAGATCTGGGAATTCTGCCTGGATCCTGCTCCAGCAGAGCTAACCCAGTCTGGGAGATCTGGGAATTCTGCCTGGATCCTGCTCCAGCAGAGCTAACCCATCCTGGGAGAGCTGGGAATTCTCCCTGGATCCTGCTCCAGCAGATCTAACCCCAGTCCTGGGAGATCTGGGAATTCTGGCTGGATCTTGCTCCAGCAGAGCTGAATCCATTCTGGGAGAGCTGGGAATTCTGCCTGCATCCTGCTCCAGCAGAGCTAACCCAGTCTGGGAGATCTGGGAATTCTCCCTGGATCCTGCTCCAGCAGAGCTAACCCAGTCTGGGAGAGCTGGGAATTCTCCCTGGATCCTGCTCCAGCAGAGCTAACCCATCCTGGGAGAGCTAGGAATTCTGCCTGGATCCTGCTCCAGCAGAGCTAACCCATCTTGGGAGAGCTGGGAATTCTGGCTGGATCCTGCTCCAGCATATCTAACCCCAGTCCTTGGAGATCTGGGAATTCTGGCTGGATCCTGCTCCAGCAGATCTAACCCATTCTGGGAGATCTGGGAATTCTGCCTGGATCCTGCTCCAGCAGAGCTAAACCCATCCTGGGAGAACTGGGAATTCTGCCTGGGGTGGAGGGAAAGCTGAAGGCTCTGTGAAGGAGCTGCTGCTTGGACTAATTGCATTTTTAAATTTAATAAAGTCGTACAAAGCCCTGCAGTGTTGGAATGGATAAAATAATTTTTTGAACAGGATTTGTCCAGCAGTCAGCATCTTCCCTGGAATGCTCTTTATGTGGGACAGGCCTGCTTAAACTGGGCTTTATTTACTGATAGGGAAATAAATAAATCATATCTTATGATTTATTAATGATCCTTTTGGGTCCCTTCCAACTCAGGATATCCTGTGATTTAGTAATGGTGAATGAGCAGAGTTTATGGGCTTGAACTGAGCTTTCCCTACACCTGTCCTGTTCAGTTTCAGTTTTCCTTTTGGGAATCTGTTCAAGAACAATTCCACAGAATTGGCCATGTAGTTTTCCTTCTGTCTGGGCAGGTTATAACCTCAATTTCCAGAGCATGTGATTCCAGTGGGGTGGAACGTGGAACTGAGCAGGGAAGCACCTGGGCACTCTGGAATTGTATTGGGGGGTTGTGGATGTGTTTGATGAGTTCTGATCTCTTCTCTGTTGCAATTCCCTTCACAGATCTGGCACAAAAGACTCCCTCTGCTTCTTCTGAACCCAAAACAGCTCTGGGACTGAATCTCTGAAGAGCCAACAGTTTGGGAAGTGTCTCAGTGTTCCTTAACTGATGACCAGAACTTGCAAGGAGAGGGGGACACCCCCTGTCCTCCTGGATCTGTCTTTGCTCAGCAGCAGGAGCTCCTGCCATGACAATCCACTCTGGACCTGGCCCCAGCTGCTGTTTGTCATCTCTGTGCCAACATCTGGTCTCGATCTGCCTCGTGGCCCCAAGTCACTGCCACATCCAGTCTTCCCTCCTGGGAACACAACTCCAGCGAAGACAAACTCTTCTGTGTCCATACCAGTGCTCGGTTTTGGGTTTGATTTTGATTTCTCTTCCTTTGCTGTGGCTGATGTTGAGAATCTGAGTAGCAGCAGCGTTGCAGTGGCTCAACATTTGGCTGTTTGTGTGGTTGTTTAGAACACTTGGCACACCAGTCCTGCCCTTGTACCTGCAGCAGCTTAAACACCTGGTGCTTGTTGTGTCCCTCCCTCTGGATCCTGCGCTGGCAGCCAGGCACCGGCACTGCTCAGTTTGAGGAGCTTCTGGTGCTGCTCAGAGAGGGCAGCAGTGGCAAGCACAAGACAAAAGAACCCCTCTCTCTGTAATGACATTAAGGCCTTAAAAGGGAGACCTGCAAAAGATTCCCCCTGAGGAGTTCCAGGCTCTTGTGGCCGAGGCTGTTCTGCTGGCACTGAAATTGGAGCTGGTGGCTATTTTTGTGTCATCCCTGCCAGCAGAACTCCTTGGGAGCTGCGGGGTGATGGCTCTGAGCTGCCAGGGAGGGATCCCTTGGGAGAGCACAGCTCCACAGAGCAGCCTGGCTTTGCCTGGCACTGCGCTCCCGCAGGATGTGCGTTCCCAGAGAGCCCCAAACCAACCCCTGTGGATGTTTTTGATGCACAAAACCCTGAGCACCACAGCTGCAGCTGCTCCAGGGCTGCCTCTCCCCCCACAAGAGCCGAGCCCCCCTCTTTTGCAGGTCACTTTTTACCCCTCGTGTGCACACGGAAGCGTGGGGAGCCCAAATCCCTGAAAAACGGAGCTCCAGGAGGGGAATGTGCCCTTTCCTGGGATTCCTGAGCGTGGCAGGGGAGTGCCTGGCTGCCTGTGGATGGATCACCAGCCCTGTGCCCCTCTCCCTGACTGGGAATGTGTTCCAGCAGCACTGGGAATGTGTTCCAGTTCCACTATGAATGTGTTGCAGCAGCACTGGGAATGCATTCCCACAACATTGAGAATGTTCCCACAGCACTGGGAATGTATTCCAGTTCCACTGGGAATGTGTTCCCACAGCACTGGGAATTTATTCCAGCACCACTGGGAAATGTGTTCCAGCAGCACTGGAAATGCATTCCCACAACAGTAGGAATGTATTCCAGTTCCACTGGGAATGTGTTCCCACAGCACTGGGAATTTATTCCAGCACCACTGGGAATTTATTCCAGTGTCACTGGGAATGTGTTCCAGCAGCACTGGGAATGTGTTCCAGCACTTCCACGCTGCCTCTCCAAGCCCCATTCCTCAGTGGCAGCTTGGGATAATGGGAATGAGGGCTGGAGTTTCCCCTCCTGGTGATCATTTCTGACCCACTCAGTCCCAGCCCAGGGCCAGGGGTGGCACTGGGGGTGTCCCCAGGGCTGTGTCCCCTCCGTCACCGCTCAGCTGTGCAGGGGGGTGGGGGGAGGCTGCAGCTCACACTTCCCCCATGGAATGATGTACAATGACTTGAAGCTCTGTATTCCTTTCCTCTGGAAGTAAATGGGAGAAAAACCTCGGTGTTTTCAGCCTGTGTGTGACAGAAGGGGTGGGAGGGACCCGAGGGGCTCGGGGGCCTCCTGTGCTTTGTCCCTGTTCCAGCTGCTGTTCCAGCTGTGCTGGGATCCAGGGACAGTCCTGGGCTGCTTTATCCAAACCCAAACTGAGCGACTGCTCCACCAGACTTCACCCTGGGTTTAAAAAGCCAATTATTAAATATTACCACATTTAATAATTTGTCTGTTTTTCCTGAGCAGGCTCTGCTGCTTTTTGGGTGGCACTGCCTTCATGCCCGGTGTCATTTTGTGCACAATTCCTGTTTTTCCTTATCTTTCCCCTTCTTTTTTATCACTCTGCATCTCAAACCTGCACTTTGAAGGCTCACAGCCCTTTGCCTAAACCACTTTGCCCATGGAGAAAAGGAAATCTGTTCTAATGAACCCTTTGGTTTTGTACCAGACAATTCCTAATTCTGATTTTGGGGCAGTTTTTCACCCAGCTTCTTGTTCTAATTATAATTAACCTGGTGTTGGTTTTCCTCTGAAGAAAATCGATGTAAATTGAGTGGCCTGGTGTATAAAAAACCAAAATTCCTTCTGAAACCAGGATGCCTAAACCTGGAATCCCCAGGCTGAGGTTTGTTTGATCCCTGGAGATCTCCCATGGATTTTTTACGGGGCTCAGGTCTCACCTACAACTGGATTTTTGTTTTTCAAGTCTGACTCCTCCTCCTTTCTCCCCCGATCTCAGAACTTGTCCCTTCCCAGGAAATGTGGAGGGATTCCTGCAGGAATAAACACTCCCCTGTGCTCCTGGGATGCATCAGCCGTGCTGGAAGTGGCACTGAGGAGTTAAACCCCAGCAGCTGCTGCTTTATTTGGAGTGGCTGGTAATTTTCTGCCTTTGATGCAGAGTGGGGGATGTAATCAGGGTGCCTGAATGGAGAATTTTCAGGATATTTTGGTGAGACAGCAGGGAAAGGAAATCAAGGGCAGCCTCTTGCTGGGTGAGGAAATTAAATAGAAAAACTTTGAGCTGAATTGCCACCAAACTGGAATCTTTTCATGCTGGAGAGCTGTTTAAAATAGTGCTTAACTTGAGCCTGGAAAAAAATAGCTGCTGAACTGTTGATTGTCAAATAATGCAGCGTCCTCAGGGGAGGAGGTCTGAGCTCCCCCAGGAGGAGCTGCTGGGTTGGGTTTGGGACAGCAGAACCCACAGGGATTTCTGCAGCGGGTGAGAGTGCTCAGAAATGGGATAAATGGATCCCATCCCACGGATCCCATCCCATCCCACGGATCCCATCCCATCCCATGGATCCCATCCCATCCTATGGATCCCATCCCATCCCATGGATCCCATCCCATGGATCCCATCCCATGGATCCCATCCCATCCTATGGATCCCATCCCATCCCACGGATCCCATCCCATCCCATGGATCCCACGGATCCCATCCCATGGATCCCACGGATCCCATCCCATCCCATGGATCCCATCCCATCCCATGGATCCCATGGATCCCATCCCATGGATCCCATCCCATGGATCCCATCCCATGGATCCCATCCCATCCCATGGATCCCATCCCATGGATCCCATCCCATCCCATGGATCCCATCCCACGGATCCCATCCCATGGATCCCATCCCATCCCATCCCATCCCATGGATCCCATCCCACAGATCCCATCCCATCCCACAGATCCCATCCCATGGATCCCATCCCATGGATTCCATCCCATCCCATGGATCCCATCCCATGGATCCCATCCCATGGATCCCATCCCATGGATCCCATCCCATCCCATGGATCCCATCCCATGGATCCCATCCCATGGATCCCATCCCATCCTATGGATCCCATCCCATGGATCCCATCCCATGGATCCCATCCCATGGAACCCATCCCATGGAACCCATCCCATGGATCCCATCCCATCCCATGGATCCCATCCCATGGATCCCATCCCATGGATCCCATCCTATGGATCCCATCCCATCCCATGGATCCCATCCCATCCCATGGATCCCATCCCACGGATCCCATCCCAAGTCCCCAAGTGCCACAGCCACACCTGACTGGAAAAGGATCTTGACTTTCTGGTTGCTGTTTCCAGTTATCCCTGAGGTGACAGCTGATGTGGAATGAACTGGGAATTAAGGAAATCGTGATGAACTTGAAAGAAGCAACTTTACTGAAAGTAAAATCAATTAATTAAAGACTAAAAAACGTATCCAGGCGGTGTTCAGCATCCTCACTGGTTCTGCAGGTAACCTGTGCTGAAAAAACATCTGAGGCTGCTTTGGGCGAGACTTTCAAAAAGAAAAACCTTACAGGATTTTTAGATGTGTTTTTTTTATTTTTTTTTTCCTGGAGAAGGAATTCTGCAGTGGACTTTAAATGCCAGTTTTGCACCAGCTCGGGGCAGGGAGGAGTGATTGCTTTGGGGTCATCTCTGAGCTGTGACTCAGCGCTGGGCACAGAAATCAGGCACCTTTTATGCAGAAATCACGATAAATTTCTGTGCTCGTTTGCATTGAGGACCCTCCAATCTGCCTGCAATGATTATTTCCCCCTCGAACCCTCTCAGCGAATTCCCAGTGACTCAGCCTGTGGATTCTCAGACGCTCCCAGCTCGGGGGGCAGAGCCAGATCCCACCTGAGGCAAATCCAGAGGGAAGAGCAGGACAGAGGCAGCTCAGACCCAGCGAATCCCAGCCTGGCCACGGAAGGGATCTGGGAATTCTGCAGGAGCAGCAGCAGGTGAAGAGGAGAGAGGAGAGGGAGGAAGATTTGCAGCAAAGCCTCCCAGCCCTGGGGGTGAGTTCTGCCTCCTGGAGCAGCAGAGGAAGGGAACTGGCGTGGGAGGCAGGAGGGAAAATCCAAGCTCCAAAAATCCAAAAATCCAAAAATCCAAAAATCCAAAAATCCAAAAGTCAGCAGAATCCTGGAAAGGAGCGAGAGGTTCCACCACTTTTCCTGTGCTGGAGCGGGACTGGGTTGCAGCTGAGGCTTTGGAGCTGCTGTGGGAGCAGGGAGAAGGGAAAACTGCTCTGGAGGCAGGACGGGACGAACAGGGAAGCCATGGATGGGTTTGACCCCTCGGCAGGAGCAGCTGGGCAGGACGTGCTCAGTGCCACCAGCCCCTCCGCGCTGTCCCTGCGGGTGGGGACAGCCGCCTGCCTGTCCCTCCTCATCCTCTGCACGCTGCTGGGGAACGCCCTGGTGTGTGTGGCCGTGCTCAGGTTCCCTCACCTGCGCTCCAAGGTCACCAACCTCTTCGTGGTGTCCTTGGCCGTGTCCGACCTGCTGGTGGCCGTCCTGGTGATGCCCTGGAGAGCCGCCAGCGAGGCGCTGGGCTTCTGGCCCTTCGGGGCTTTCTGTGACCTCTGGGTGGCTTTTGACATCCTGTGCTGCACGGCCTCCATCCTCCACCTGTGCCTCATCAGCCTCGAGCGCTACTGGGCCATCGCCAGCCCCTTCCTCTACCACAGGAGGGTGACCCAGCGCCTGGCCTTGGGCGCCATCGGCGCGGCTTGGCTGCTGTCCCTCCTCATCTCCTTCCTCCCCGTGCAGCTGCGGTGGCACAAGGACCGGGAGCAGCAGGGCTCGAACGGCTCTGCGGAGGAGGGGAGCTGTGAGCCCAACCTCAGCGGGGCCTACGCCATCTCCTCCTCGCTCATCAGCTTCTACATCCCCGTTGCCATCATGCTGGGCACCTACGGCCGCCTGTTCCGCCTCGCCCGGCACCAGCTCCGCAGGATCTCCTCCCTGGAGAGACCGGCGGGGCGCGGCCGGAGCTGCCCGGGCAGCAGCGACTGGCCTGGGGGAAGCTCCTTCAACAACTCCCTCAAGAAGGAGACCAAGGTGCTCCAGACGCTCTCCATCATCATGGGCGTCTTCGTGTGCTGCTGGCTGCCCTTCTTCGTGCTCAACTGCCTGCTGCCCTTCTGTGCCCCCACGCCGTGCGTCAGCGGGGCCGTGCTCAGCACCTTCACCTGGCTGGGCTGGGCCAACTCTGCCCTCAACCCCATCATCTACGCCTTCAACGCCGAATTCCGCGCCGCCTTCGCCTCCCTGCTGGGCCGGGGCTGCCGCGGCAGCGCCGTGGGGATGGTGACCGCCAGCGAGGAGCTGGAGTCCTTCCACCCCGACAGCACCGAGCCCAGGGCTCTGCAGCCCCCCAGCCCGCCCCAGCTGCTGCCCCACGCTGTGCTGCAGGTGGACAACCCCGAGCTGGCCTTGGAGAAGGTTTCTCCGGGTTCCTCCCCACCCCAGGACCTCCTTGCTGAGTGTGGAACCTCCATCTGGCTGGGGAGGATTCCCCCTCTGGCCAGCAGCGCCTTCCATTGAGCCCGGCTGGGAAAAGAGGGGTGGGGAGGGCTCCAGCAGAGAGGGGAGCCGGGCATTCCTGCCAGCCCCGTTCCTGAGGACACTCAGGATGCTCCACTCCGTTTGCACCACCCCGCCTGGAATTCCAGAGCCGTTTTCCAGCTGTTTCTGTAACTGGATTTTGGCCCCGGCTGGAATTCCAGGGCGGTTTTCCAGCTGTTTCTGTAACTGGATTTTGGCCCCAGCTGGAATTCCAGAGCGGTTTTCCAGCTGTTTCTGTAACTGGATTTTGGCCCCAGCCCAGGTGGGCAGCGGGGTGTAGGTCTGAGATTCAGTCAAAGAGAGAAACGGAAAGTTTCTAACCAGGCAGAAGGTGGGAATCTGTTGGAAAATAATGTAAATAAGAGGTTTTATCTCCTTGTGGTTCAGTTTCTAACCAGGCAGAAGGTGGGAATCTGTTGGAAAAGAACGTAAATAAGAGGTTTTATCTCCTTGTGGTTCAGTTTCTAACCAGGCAGAAGGTGGGAATCTGTTGGAAAAGAACGTAAATAAGAGGTTTTATCTCCTTGTGGTTCAGTTTCTAACCAGGCAGAAGGTGGGAGATGGGAGAAGGTCTGAGATGGGAGCGATAATCTGGAACCCCTCAAATGACTGAGTTAATCTGAACGCTGCTGTAATGTTTATAATATTTATAATATTTATAATTCAAGGTGTTGTGTGGTGCTTGGAACTCCGGGCTCGGCAGCAGGAGGGAATGGGAGTGCCCAGCTTTTCCCAAAACTGTTTTGGAAGAGTTTCTTGATACTTGTGGCAAAATTTGTAAAGGGATTGGGGAAAAACAGCCAGCTCGGTGTGCCTGTGATGAACAGGGTGAACTGCAAAGGAGAGACAACAGAGAGAGTGAAGTGACCCTTTTTTGTGTCCTATTTAATTATTTAATTACATGAGTGTGTTTAATTCTTGCTGCGCTGTCCTGCAGCAGCTCTTGTCAGCGTTCAGGAACACACAGAACCACGGGATGGGTGGAATTATTCCAGTCTGGGGCTGATCCCAGAGCAGGGATTTGTGCCTGACCTTGCTCTGTAATCCCAAAAAAACCAGGTCACTTCTGGAGCTCTGGATGTGCCATGGGTGACCTGGGGACAGGTTGTGGGTTTTTTTTCGGGTGAGGAGCAGAGAGGCCTGAGAAAAGTGATATTTGCAAAGAGGGAACTGGGAATGGACAGGGATGGAACTGGGATAGAGAGGGACAGAATTGGGATGGAGAGGGACGGAACTGGGATGGAGAGGGAAGGAACTGGGATGGAGAGGGACGGAACTGGGATGGAGAGGGACAGAATTGGGATGGAGAGGGAAGGAACTGGGATGGAGAGGGACAGAACTGGGATGGAGAGGGACAGAACTGGGATAGAGAGGGATGGAATTGGGGTGGAGAGGGACGGAACTGGGATGAGGGAGAAGAGCCCGGACAGGCCGAGAGGAGCTCGGACCGAGCGGGACGAGCCGAGACGGAGATGGAAAAGCCGCGATCAGGCGGGAGGAGCCGGGACGGGGCGGGACGATCCAGGACAGGGCAGGAGGAGCCGGGACCGGGAAGGAGGAGCCGGGATCGAGCAGGAGGAGCCGGGAAGGAGGAGCCGGGAGGAGCCAGGAGGAGCCAGGACCGGGAAGGAGGAGCCGGGAGGAGCCAGGAGGAGCCAGGACCGGGAAGGAGGAGCCGGGACAGAGCAGGAGGAGCCGGGACCGAGGAGGAGGAGCCGGGACCGGGAAGGAGGAGCCGGGGCCGGGAAGGAGGAGCCGGGACCGGGAAGGAGGAGCCGGGACGGGGCGGGAGGAGCCGGGATCGAGCGGGAGGAGCCGGGATCGAGCAGGAGGAGCCGGGACCGGGAAGGAGGAGCCGGGATCGAGGAGGAGGAGCCGGGACCGGGAAGGAGGAGCCGGGATCGAGGAGGAGGAGCCGGGACCGGGAAGGAGGAGCCGGGATCGAGGAGGAGGAGCCGGGACCGAGGAGGAGGAGCCGGGGCAGGGAAGGAGGAGCCGGGATCGAGCAGGAGGAGCCGGGATCGAGCAGGAGGAGCCGGGACTGAGGAGGAGGAGCCGGGGCCGGGAAGGAGGAGCCGGGGCCGGGCGCAGGCGCCCCGCCGGTATCCGCTGCTCGGCCGGGCCTGGCGGTGAGGACGCGGGGGGACCCCGGACCGGGCGGGCGGAGCCTGGGGGGACACCGGGGGGACACCGGGGTACGGTGGGTGCGGGGATGGGGGCGATGGGGGGTTCAGGTTGGGGTGGTGATGATGATGATGGTGATGGTGATGGGGACAGGAGGCAGCACGTGGCGCTGGGGGTGCGCTGGGAGAAGGGGGGCAGGGGGATGCAGGGAGCGGGACAGGGGGCTGGGGGTGTCCTGGAAAGGGGGTAAGGGGATGCAGAGGTGCTGAGGATGGCCAGGCTGGGGGGATGCCCAGGGCGGGGGGATTTGGGGATGCCCAGGGCGGAGGGGATTTGGGGATGCCCAGGGCGAGGGGGGATTTGGGGATGCCCAGGGCGGGGGGGGGAATTTGAGGATGCCCAGGGCGGGGGGGATTTGGGGATGCCCAGGGCGAGGGGGGATTTGGGGATGCCCAGGGCGGGGGGGATTTGGGGATGCCCAGGGCGGGGGGGAATTTGGGGATGCCCAGTGCAGAGGGGATTTGGGGATGCCCAGGGCAGGGGGGATTTGGGGATGCCCAGGGCGGAGGGGGGATTTGGGGATGCCCAGGGCAGGGGGGATTTGGGGATGCCCAGGGCAGGGGGATAACGGGGTGCAGAGGGGCGGGGGAGGTTTGTAGGGGATGCTGGGCACCCATGGGTGGGGGTTTGTGGCTGTCCCTCCCTCCACGTGTGCCCCTGTCCCCCGCAGGCCGCCCCCCTCGCCGCCCTGGCGCTGCGCTCCATGGACGGCGTTTTCCTGTCGCCCAGCGAGGATGAGTTCGTGGGCAGGATCGCGGAGGAGCTGGAGCAGTTCCTGGGGCAGGGGCAGCACCAGCGGTGGGTCCCGGCCCGGGCAGGGCACCGGGCTGACCCTCCCTGCCGGGCGATGCCAGCCGCAGGGATGCCCGGGGACTTGGGGCTCAGGGTTTGCATCGCTTTTCTGGGGTGAAAACAGCCGCGTTTGGGGTCTGGATGTGGAGATCCGCCTGCTGGGATCGCGGTGGGATCTCCTCCCACGGTCACGCCTGAACTTCAGGCAGGGTTTGGGCCATGGTGGCTTTTACAGCAGCATCCTGGGCTCGCCTGGATCTGTTCCCAAATCCAGCGACCTTCGGAGCCCAATCCCGGCTGCTGGTGGCAACACTGAGATCCCTGCCAGCTTGTCACCACCTTAAATATTTGTTTTGTTGCTTTTTTTTTTTATAAAACGTTTGGCAAAGAAATTCCGCGTGCCCTTGTCAAACGCTCGGGGGCAAACTGTGACAGCAGTGACGCTGGACTTGGAGTTTATTTATCCATTCTTGGTTTATTCATTGGTTTCTGTGTGGGAAATGGATTTGTAGAGAAATTTTGAAGTTTGATAGAAGGTTTATATAGTATGTATTTGTATATAAATGTTGAGATAAATGTTGATTTAGAAATGTTACAGGATAAGAGAGATATTGTTAAGAGAGAAATGAAATTAGGCTCAGCCTGGGAGGGAGGGGATCAGAAGCAGCTTTCTGCTGGTGCTTCCCAGCCTTTCCCATATGGATTCAGCAGGAACCAGAGTCCAGGCCAAGGCATTCCCAGCCTCCCCTTTCTCCATTTGATGTGTAAAATGTGTCTGGCTGCAAATCTGGGAAGGCATTTGTGCTCTTTATAATATCACCAAGTCCTGCTTGGCTTTTTTCTGATTTAAATCCCGTGCTGGGATTAAATTTTTCCAACTTTCCCATCCCTTCCCGCACATTTCTGGTGCTCTCTTCCTTTCAGAGTGCTCCTGTTCCCACCCCTGTCCAGCCGCCTGCGGTACCTGATCCACCGCACCGTGGAAAACATGGAACTGCTGAGCAGCTTCTCGGTGGGAGAGGGCTGGAGGAGGAGGACGGTCATTTGTCACTCGGCCGTCAGGTGAGCTGTGCCTGGAATCCTGGAATGGTTTGGAAGGGACCCGAAACTCATCCCAGTGCCGCCTTTGTCACCTTCTGGGGACACCTCCCACCGTCCCAGGCTGCTCCAGGCTGGCCTTGGACACCTCAGGGATCCAGGGGCAGCCACAGCTGCTCTGGGAATTCCATCCCAGCCAGGAATTCCTTCCCAAAATCCCATCCGTCCCTGCTCTCTGGCAGTGGGAGCCATTCCCTGTGTCCTGTCCCTCCATCCCTTGTCCAAGTCCCTCTCCAGATCTCCTGGAGCCCCTTCAGGCTCTGGAAGGGCTCTGAGCTCTCCCTGGAGCATTCCCAGCTCTCCCAGCCCTTGGATCAGGCACAAAGTCACCGTGTCCCATTTAAGTCTCCATTCCCAGCGGCACCTCCCAGACCCTAAGGAACAGCGAGATTTTCCCTTTGGGAATTTGCTCCTCCTTTTCCTCTGGCAAACCCCACACCCCTGGGTTCCCCCTGCTCCCCTCTTGTCGGAATCTGTGGTGTTGGTGATTCTGAGATTGTAAAAAGTCTCTGTCCTTCAGCCCTGCAGCCAAAGCAGAAGCCATAATTGGTCTGTGCTGGTTTCAAGGTTGTTTATTCTGTTTATCTCTAACATGTTCTGCTGCCCTGCCGCAGCTCTGTCCTGCAGGGCAGCGTGTGGGGCTCTGCCCTCAGTGGGATGGTACAAACATTAAATACCACAAACTACCTGTGCTGGATTTACAATAACGTGCCACTATCTGTCCCCTACGTTGGACAGTGTGTCCCCAGCCTGAACCAACAGAAAAATGCCAACACCACAGTGAAACATGGAGGGCATGAAGAAGGAGAAAAAGGACAAGGCACACCCAATTTCCTCCATCTTGTCCCCTTTGGACCCCTTATCTAGAATCCTAAAATTTTACTTTTGCACCCATACCACACTTAATTATTACTTATATCAAACACTCAGAGCTGGTAATTGATCCTGTAAGATTGAAAACTCTTTTCCATGGGCAGAGATCACAGACAGTGTCTCTGGGGGCTCTGTCCAGGGGGGTCCCAGGGCAGGCAGAGGGAAGCCCTGGATTCCCACACCCTCTCACCATCCCTTCCTCCCCAGGCTTCCCAGCGAGGCCCCGAGTGACCCAAAGCCCGGCAGTGGCGCGGCGCGGCCGCAGCGCCCAGCACAGCCCTGGGGCCGGGGCGGGCGCGGGGCGCGGCTGCGGCACCCCGGGGACACCCACGGGGACAGCGCCCGCGCCTCCGTGGGCTCGGGCAGGATCACCAGGCCGCCCAGGAAGAAGCCAGACAAAGCCCTGTACGTGCCCAGAGGCATCTCCCAAAGGAAAAAGGCGAATTGGAGGGAGAGGGAGGCAGAGCCCGACGGGGATGCGGCGCCAGGAGGGGAAAACTGCCCCAGGAATTCCATGCGGGACAACCAGCAGGAGCTGGGCAAGGCTGGAGACAGCGCTGGGAAGCAGCAGGAGGAGCCTGAGGATGTCCCAGGAAACGGCAGCGCTGAGCATCCTCCGTGTGATGAGAAGGTGCCGAAGGATTTAGGGAACAGCCACGATTCCTGTGAGCAGGAAAGCCGGGATAAGGACTGTTCCCATTCCCTGACTGCTGCACACAACAAACACCCACCTGAAGCAGCAGAGCAGGAGTCCAGCCATGCCAGCACCACCATTCCAGAGGGCAGCGAATTCCAGGAGGAGAAGCAATCCAGGCGGGATTCCGGAGGGTCGGAGCGTGGGAAAGGCTCCAGCCCTTTGGAGAACCACGGTGGCAGCAGGACAGAGCTGGGTGGGACAGAGCTGACCACAGGAGCCCATCCCGGGTCAGAGCTGACCACGAGTGCCCAGCCTGGCTCAGAGCTGACCACGAGTGCCCAGCCTGGCTCAGAGATGACCACGAGAGCCCAGCGTGGGTCAGAGCTGACCACAAGAGCCCAGAGTGGGACAGAGCTGACCACGGGAGCCCAGCCTGGGTCAGACCAGCCCGTGGCAGTGACAGACCCAGCCCTGGCAGAGTCCCCACTGCTGGAAACGCAGAGCCTGGAGAGCAGCAGGAACCTGGCAGAGCAGGATTCCAGGAGTGCCGAGGAAGGCCGGGGTGATCTCGGTGAGCAGGGGAGCCCCAGCACCGGCCAGCTGGAGCAGAAACCCCTCCAGAAGGTTCTAGAAGGCCCAGGTGAGGCTCTGGCTGCTCCTGAGCTGCTCCGTGGCGAAGATCCCAGCGCTCCGGGGCGGATCTGCAGCAGGAAGGTGCCCGGGGAGGAAGAGGAGGACAAGGAACGCTCGGATGTGGCCGAGGCGCTGTGGAGGGACCTGGATTTGGCTGCAGGGGACAGGGAGGGGACGAGGCAGAGCGGCCTCGAGGACGACTGCACAGCAGAGCTCCTGGCAGAGGTGATTGGAGGGAAGATTTGGGGAAAGAGGGGAAGGAATTGCTCCCTGGAGGAGATTCCGTGTCCTGGGTGGAAGGAATTGCTCCCTGGAGGAGATTCCGTGTCCTGGGTGGAAGGAATTGCTCCCTGGAGGAGATTCCGTGTCCTGGGTGGAAGGAATTGCTCCCTGGAGGAGATTCCATGTCCTGGGGAGGAGATTCCGTGTCCTGGGTGGAAGGAACTGCTCCCTGGAGAATATTCCATGTTCTGGGAGGAGATTCCGTGTTCTGGGTGGAAGGAATTGCTCCCTGGAGGAGATTCCGTGTCCTGGGAGGAGATTCCGTGTCCTGGGGAGGAGATTCCATGTTCTGGGAGGAAGGAATTGCTCCCTGGGTGGAGATTCCATGTCCTGGGTGGAAGGAATTGCTCCTGGAGGAGATTCCATGTTCTGGGAGGAGATTCCATGTTCTGGGTGGAGATTCCGTGTCCTGGGTGGAAGGAATTGCTCCTGGAGGATATTCCATGTTCTGTGAGGAGATTCCGTGTCCTGGGTGGAAGGAATTGCTCCCTGGAGGAGATTCTGTGTCCTGGGCGGTGCAGGTGGGGTTGGAGTGGCCGAGGTGAGGATTGGCCACCAATGGGATGAAACTCCAGCCTGGCTCGTGGTTTTTATTTTTCAATCCTTGCTCCGGATCCCCCCAGATCGTCGGGAATCTGACGGTGAAGGACATCAGCATCGAGAGGATCAGCGTGGATTATTCCGGCTACGGGGAGGCCCAGGTCAGCGAGGGGGACTTGGGCCACGTCACCGAGATCTACGACTTCCCCTCCTCCCTGAAAACCGAGGATCTGATGGAAATGTTCTCCGATTTCCAGTGAGTAACTCGGGAGCCTGAGCACGGCAGGAGCGCAGTCAGCCTGGGACTGGCAGCGCCGTCCTGGGTTTGAGTTTCACCTTCCCCTCTCTGTGTGCCTGAAAAGAGCTTTTCCTGCAATTTAATCCTGGTTTAAAGCCCAGCAGGACTCTGGCACCCAAATTGTGGATTTTAATTTCACCTTCCCCTCTTTGTGTACCTGAAAAGAGCTTTTCCTGCAGTTTACTCCAGGTTTAAAGCCCAGCTTTACTCCAGGGCTCTGGCACCCAAATTCTGGATTTTAGTTTCAGCTCTGTGTGCCTGCAGTTTAGTCCTGGTTTAAAGCCCAGCTTTTCTCCAGGGCTCTGGCACCCAAATTCTGGATTTTAGTTTCACCTCTGTGTGCCTCAAAGGGGCTTTTCCTGTGATTTAGTCCTGGTTTAAAGCCCAGCTTTACTCCAGGGCTCTGGCACCCAAATTCTGAATTTTAGTTTCACCTTCCCCTCTCTGTGTGCCTGAAAAGAGCTTTTCTTGCAATTTAATCCTGGTTTAAATCCCAGTTTTACTCCAGGGCTCTGGCACCCAAATTCTGGATTTTAATTTCACCTTCGCCTCTCTATGTGCCTCAAAGGGGCTTTTCATGGGATTTAATCCTGGTTTAAAGCCCAGCAGGACTCTGGCACCCAAATTGTGGATTTTAATTTCACCTTCCCCTCTCTGTGTGCCTCAAAGGAGCTTTTCCTGCAATTTAATCCAGGTTTAAAGCCCAGCTTTTCTCCAGGGCTCTGGCACCCAAATTGTGGATTTTAGTTTCACCTCTGTGTGCCTCAAAGGGGCTTTTCCTGCAATTTAATCCAGGTTTAAAGTCTCTTTATGAGATTTCACCCCAAAATCACTTCATAAATCCCTTGTTTTTTATTTTTGTGCCTGGGAAAAACCTCAGAAATGTCAATATTTTGGTGCTGGAAGCCAACCCCTGAAACGGAGGTTGGGCTTGAGAAGAAAAGCGGAATTTTGGGGTAATTTCACATTGTGGCCCCAAAAAGGGCACATTTCATATCCTTTTTCCTTCTTTTCCTGCCTTTCCCCCCATTTAAAATGGGATTAATGTTTTGGGAAACACCAAAAAACACTGAAACCCCCTCCTGGGGCTGCTGGGTTTTGTTGGGACTTGGTTTTTCTTGACATTAATTGAAATTATTCTCTTTTCTTGCAGCGAGAGCGGCTTCAAAATCCAGTGGGTGGATGATACCCATGCCCTGGGAATCTTCTCCAGCCTCTCCACAGGTATTTGGGGTGGGATGGAGGCACCCAGAGCTCCCAGTCCCTTCCCAGAAATAATAACAGGATTATAATCTAATAATCTGATTTTTTTGGGGTTAATTACAGCACTTTGTGTTCCTTGCAGCGTCCCATGCAGGATGAATGTTCCCAGGGTACCATAATCTGATTTTTGGGGTTAATTTTGGCCCTTTTTTCCCCTGCAGCATCCCAGGCCCTGGGCCGCCGCTACCCCTGCCTGCGGATCCGGCCCCTGATCCACGCCTCCAAACAGGCCAAGCTCAAGGCGCTCCAGAGACCAAGTAAGGGCCCGAATTCCCAAATTTCCCAAATTCCCAAATTCCCAAATTTCCCAAATTCCCCCCATTTTTCTTGTATTTCCCGCTCCTGACTGCTCCAGATGACAAATTCCCATTCAGGACCAGTTATTTGTCCGATTGGGGTTTGGATTTCTTGGCACTGAGCTGCACTGTGGAATTTTGCTGGAATTCAGATTGAATTTTTATTTTATTTTATTTTATTTTTGGTGTAATCTGCTGCTCTTTTGGGCAGTTGGAAGGGAAGGGTTGTGCTGGAATTGGGATTTTTTGGGAGGTAAAGCATCCAATTCCCCAGGAATTTTCTCTTCCCTCTCCCCCTGGCAATCCAAAGGAGACAAACCCAATCTTGTGGTTGGCATAATTTTATTCAGGAAGGAGAAATGGTGAAGCTGAGCCATGAACATCAGTGGATTGATTACCATTGATTGATTATTGATTGATTTCATTGCCTTTCAATCAGATTGATCAGGTCCAGTTGCCACAGGAAAGCAAAGCAGCAGCAGAGACTCTGAACCAACAATTCCTGGGATTTTCCAACTGCAGTCAGAATAAATTCCAATTTTAATGCTTTAAAGGGACACTGTCACAGTGACCAATTCCTGAGTTTCAGCACTGCTGCATTTAAAGGAAACATCCAAAAATTCGCTTTATTTGCATCTCCCCTTCATCTGTTTTTTCATTTATTCACTATTCTGTATCAGGTTAAATGAAAATATAATTATTTTAAATTTATTATTAATTAATAATTAAATAGAATAATTAAACATAAATCCTGTTGGTATCCAGTTTCAATTGATTATTTTCCAAACACAAATTTGGATTAGAATTAGCTGACAGTGTCTCTTTTTAATTTTTTTTTAATTACTTTTTTTTCCTTTAATGAATGAAACTTCTGGAAAAACAAAGCCCCCCTTGCTGTGTAGGTAACAACTTCAAATTGATAAAGGATTGATTAATTAATCCCCAAATCCAAATTATTGTGAAGTTGGTGAAATTTTGGTGGATTTCCTTGCAGATGGAATTGCAGCCATCCAAAAAAAAAAAAATGGAGGGCACTGACCAAGGGGCTTCCTAAATAATCTAAAATATTTAGATATAATTTAAAATGCAGAATTTTTTTTTTAATTTTCTTTGCTGTTTTCCAAGGATTTTGGCAGCTGGTTTTGAGGAGTTTCAGTTGGATAAATGGATAAATTGCCTGGGTTTTTCCAGGCATGGAAAGGGATGGGATGCTGGGAATTTGACCAGGAAGAATTCCTGAATTTTCCACACAGCAGAAGAACCCTGAACCTTTATGCTGACCAAACCCACTGAAAAGTGTGGAATTCCATCCTGAAAAACAAAACAAAACCAATTTATTCACTGAGATGGAAAGATTTGATGTCGATAAACGAATAAAACAGCGGGGAAAAAAAAGCTGATTTTTTTTGGGGATTTAACCACCAATTTCTCCTTGACCAAGGCATAGCTGGGTAATTTTTTTTTCCCATTTTTCCCAATTTTTTCCCTAGAATTGCTGCAGCTGGGGAAGGAGAGGCCGCAGACGGACACGGCAGTGGCCAGGAGACTCGTGTCCCACGCCCTGGGCTGGAGGCACAGGCAGCACGAGGCCGCAGGGAATGAAGTTTTCCAGCCAGAATCCTTGGATCAGGAGGAATAATCCCAAAAAAACCCCCCAAAAAACGGCTGTAAAGATGAGCATGGCTGTGCTATTAAATGCATGCAGAGCAGGCAGCGCCACGGGGGTGTTCCTTTAGGGATCAGCTTGGGAAAGTTGGGAATGGGAATTCCTGTTGGGTTTGTTTGGTTTTTTTGTTTGTTTTTGGAGCCCTGGGAAGCGCTGGAATTCTTTGTTGGGTGTTTCAAAGCGTCTGGGGCGCCTGCAGGAATGAGGTGGTTTCTTTATTCCTTATTCCTGCTCTGTTTTCCAACAAAAAATAGGCATTAAGAGTAAGAAAATAGGATTTTTTTTGGGCCAAAATTCAACTCTTAAGACAAGGGCAGGAGTTCAAAAATCTGTTCCACGTTTGTTGTAATGTTGCTGTTCAGATATCCCAGAAAACTGACAGGAAGTGGATTCAAGTTTTAGGGAATTCTTTCCTTATTTATAGAGTTTCAAGAGCCTGAACTTCCCTGTTGAGGAAAGTTGGGATCTGCTCATTAGGGAAAAAAAAAACCTCCAGAATTTGCCTGTGCTGACGTGCCCAGAGCTGGGTTTAAAATGAGCTTTCACCCCCATTCCAAGCTCTGCTGGTGCTCCAGTCTGGGATTCTGAGGAAGAACAGGAATTTTCCAATTGCCAGGAGGTTAAAACCCCTTTGCCAGCTGGAGAAATGACAAATACTCAAAATATTTCTGCATTTTTAAGCCTCACAAACATCCCTGTGGGGTGGGGTTTGGGGGAAGTTTGCAGCCAGTTGGAATCCCTGTGGGATCAGCTGGAATTCCAGGTAACTTTGATTGTAGGAGAGGAGAAAAACCCCCAAACTTCCAGGAATTCTGAGGAGAAATACACCAAGGCCTTCTAAAGTGATTTTTTTCTTTTTCCAGGGAAAAGGTTTTTATTTGAGCTCTGTAGCAAAGTGTGTCCTCAAACAAACAGAGGAGAACTGGGAATTCCCACAGAGGCAGGAATTCCCTCTGCAAGGTGCACAAGGATAATTCATCCTTGGAAAAAAAAGATGGAATATCCAGGCAGGAGGTGATCCTTGGATGGGCACAGCAGCTGGTGGCTGGAGGATCCCTGTGGGATGGGAATTCCCAACCCAGAGGCCTCATCCTTGAGAATCTGCAGAGTTCTGGGTGCTGAGGGATTGGTTCAGGGAGCTTTGTGAGATTCCCTGTGAAATTCCACATGAAATTCCCTGTGAAATTTCCACGTTCTGCGTTTGCTCCCCTCCGGAGCGTTGGATCCAAGTGTTTCACTGCAGTATTAAATTCAGCTTTACACTGTTCTGCTCACAAAAAGCTGCTCCTTTTTTCCTTTTTTTTTAAAAAAACAAAAAAATTCCTTCTATTTCCTTGCTAAACTGAGTCAGTGCTGAGGAGGAGTGCAGGAAGCAGCAGCACAAACGGGCATTGGGCGTGGAAAAGAGCTGAAAATTCCCAAATAATGCCTTGGAAATGAAGGATGAAGGCACTTCTGGGTGGTTGGCACCCAACCTGAGGCGAGGAGTGCTGCAAAATGTGGGAGGAATCTTTGGGATGGTGAAGAGCTGGAGCTGAGGAGAGCTGGAATTGCAGGAGGCACCGAGGGGTGCCTGAGCACCTAAACTGGGGAGGGAGAGGCTTCTTCAGGAGTGATTCACCTGAAATTCAGAGTTTTGGAGGAGGCTGGATTTCCTGGGGTGCAGTGGTTCGGGAAGGGCCGGAGCAGGAGTCCTGGCTTCCTTAAATTAGTGGGAATTCTACCGGGCAGACACGTTGTTATTTGTGAGTCCCCTGAAGTGGTCGAACTTCTGCTCCGTCTCCTCGCTGAAGGAACCACCTGGAGAGGCCACAGGGAGAGCAGGGGGTGAGCAGGGGAGGGAAAAACCTTGGGAATGTGGGGAAAACCTTGGGAACACAGAGTATGGGGAAAAACCTTGGGAACACACAGAGAGAGCACGGGAAAAGCACTTGGGAATGCAGGGAGAGCAGGGGGAAAACCTTGGGAACACAGGGAGAGCAGGGGGTGAGCAAGGGAAGGAAAAATCTTGGGAACGTGGGGAAAACCTTGGGAACACAGGGAGAGCAGGGGAAAAACCTTGGGAACGTGGGGAAAACCTTGGGAACAGAGGGAGAGCACAGGAAAAGCACTTGGGAACGCAGGGAGAGCAGGGGGTGAGCAGGGGAGGGAAAACCTTGGGAACATGGGGAAAACCCTTGGGAAAACAGGGAGAGCATGGGGAAAATCCTTGGGAACATGGGGAAAATCCTTGGGAACATGGGGAAAATCCTTGGGAACATGGGGAAAATCTTGGGAACACAGGGAGAGTATGGGGAGAAACCTTGGGAACACAGGGAGAGCGTGGGGAAAACCCTTGGGAACACAGGAAGAGCATGGGAAAAACCTTGGGAACATTGGAAAAACCTTGGGAACACAGGGAGAGCAGGGGGTGAGCAGGGGAGGGAAAAACCTTGGGAACGTGGGGAAAACCTTGGGAACAGAGGGAGAGCAGGGGGAAAAACCTTGGGAACACAGGGAGAGCATGGGGAGAAACCTTGGGAACATGGGGAAAACCCTTGGGAAAACAGGGAGACCATGGGGAAAACCCTTGGGAATACAGGAAGAGCATGGGAAAAACCTTGGGAACATGGGGAGAGCATGGGGAAAACCCTTGGGAACATGGGGAAAACCCTTGGGAACACAGGGAGAGCAGGGGGAAACCCTTGGGAACACAGGAAGAGCATGGGAAAAACCTTGGGAACATGGGGAGAGCAGGGGGAAAACCATGGGAAAATGGGGAAAACCCTTGGGAAAACAGGGAGAGCGTGGGGAAAAACCCTTGGGAACATGGACAGAGCATGGGGTTGACACTTGGGAAGAGCACAGGAAAAACACCTGGGATTTTATTAATAAATCAGGATAAGTGGGAGAGCTCGGGGAAAACATTTGGGATCACCAGGAGAGGGAAAAACCCTTGGGAACACCAGGAAAGCACAGGGTGAGCAGGGAAAAATCCTTGGGAGAGGGAAAAGCACTTGGGGAACACTGGGACTGGGCGAAACCAGCGCCCTGGAAATGAAGGTGTTAAAGGTTTGGGGTTAATTAAATGAAGTTTTAATTAAATCTTGCCCTAACTGGCACAGCCAGGAGTCCCCAGGAAGGCTGGATGTGGATTTGCAAGACTGAATTACCCAAATTTCACTGGTTTGGTGCTTAAAGAATAAAGTGAGGCCCAACAAGGCCTGTGAGGGTGTGAGGGCTCTGCTCTGAAGCAGAACCAAACTCTAATTTCTCTCTAATTAGGACAAAGTGAAAGTTAAAACCTTTGTTTTTAACCAGAAATGTCTCCCAGCTCAGTTGCAGAGTCTGTGCCACAGCTGGAACGGGCTTCACTTCCCTGAACTAGGTCACAGTCTGAAATGTGACACACAAGATGAGAATTTTCTGCTAAAATCCCAACAAAATAATGAGAAAAATCAGTGGTTACGTGGATTTTTTTTTTTTTCTCCAGGAAAAACATTCTTTGAAGAAGGGAATTTTCAGAGCTGGTTTTATTTGGAGCTGGGCAGGGAGTTGTGTTAATTCATTTTCTGTGGTAAAAACAGTCCAAAAAAGCCCCCAAGTTGATTCCATTTTAAATGGTTTTGACAATGGAATAAGCCGAATTTAAATTAGTTTGGCTTCGATATTAATTTCCATGACCAAAAGGAAAAATACCAAATGATAACATTTTAAATCTTTTTTTCCAAGAAAACAGAGATTTCCCTGACATTCCAGGGGCATTTTAATTCCTGCCTGGTACAGCAGGCTCTTTCCCACTGCTTTGTTTGTTCTCAAAGAGAAGCTTCGTGATCCAAAGAGATCCCAGCTCAGCAAAATAATTTGATTTTGGGAAGAAGGAATTTGCCAGGATAATAGGATTGCACCAGAGTTTTTCACAGGGGGAAAACATGGAATTCTTTGTCTGAGAGGAATCTTTGGTGTGGGAATCCAGAGCTTCCCTCTGGCTGCCCTGGGACCCTGGCAGGGGTCAGGAACCCCCCTGGACAGAGCCCCCAGAGACACTGGCTGTGATCTCTGTCCATGGAAAAGAGTTTTCAATCTCACAGGATCAATTACCAGCTCTGAGTGTTTGATATAAGTAATAATTAAGTGTGGCACGGGTGCAAAAGTAAAATTTTAGGATTCTAGATAAGGGGTCCAAAGGGGACAAGATGGAGGAAATTGGGTGTGCCTTGTCCTTTTTCTCCTTCTTCATGCCCTCCATGTTTCACTGTGGTGTTGGCATTTTTCTGTTGGTTCAGGCTGGGGACACACTGTCCAACGTAGGTGACAGATATTGGCACGTTATTGTAAATCCAGCACAGGTAGTTTGTGGTATTTAATGTTTGTACCATCCCACTGAGGGCAGAGCCCCACACGCTGCCCTGCAGGACAGAGCTGCGGCAGGGCAGCAGAACATGGTAGAGATAAACAGAATAAACAACCTTGAAACAGCACAGACCAATTATGGCTTCTGCTTTGGCAGCGGGGCTGACAGACAGAGACTTTCTACACTCTTGGGATCATCAATAGCTCAGATTTGGACACCCTGGAGCATGCCCAGCCCTGCTGGAGGATTCCCACCCTCACCTATGTGGCAGTTGTACATCCAGATGCGCTGCCCGTCGTAGCGGCTCCGGCATTTCATCACGTTGTTGGAATAATCCGACTCTGCCACCTCGTAGTTGGGGTTGATCACGACCTGAGGGGGTGGAAGGACAGGGGTGGGGTTGTTGAAAGGGGGATTTGGCAGGATGCAGAATCAGTTTTTGTTTTTTTTTTTTTTACAGCGTTTTTTTAGAAGAAAATGAAAATATTATTTATTTTGTACAGAGAAAGGAATTACTCAAATAAACAGGGAATAAAGGCTGAGTCAGGGAATCCTGGGATAGTTGGGGTGGAGGGATTTAAATCTCATCCAGTTCCACCCCTGCCATGGACAGGACACCTTCCACTGTCCCAGGCTGCTCCAGCCTGGCCTTGGGCACTGCCAGGGATCCAGGGGCAGCCACAGCTCCTCTGGGAATTCCATCTCAGCCCCTCCTCACCAGGAATTCCTCCCCAATATCCCACCCAAACCTCCCCTTTTCCATTGGAAGCCATTCCCTGTGTCCTGTCCCTCCATCCCTCGTCCCCAGTCCCTCTCCCTGCTGAAACACATCCCACACAAAGCAGACGCTGAAATTTCTGAATTTCAGGGAGCATCACATCAGGGGTTTTAAAATCCCCACACACATTCAGTGTGTTCCATTTGGGAAAAAATCCAGGCTGGACATGGAGAAAGGTGCCGGAAAGTCCTTAAGGAAGGACCTTTCCTCCCCAATATCCCAACCAAATCTCCCCTTTCCCAGCTGGAGCCATTCCCTGTGTCCTGTCCCTCCATCCCTCGTCTCCAGTCCCTCTCCAGCTCTCCTGGAGCCCCTTCAGGCCCTGAAGGGGCTCTGAGCTCTCCCTGGAGCTTTCCCTTCTCCAGGTGAACATTCCCAATTCCCTCAGCCTTTCCTCCCAGTCGAGCTGCTCCATCTCCAATTCACCACAGCCACACCTTCCCCAACCCCCCCAAATCTCCTCCCAAACCCCCATTTTCCATTTCACACAGCTCAGACAGAAATAATTCCTCTCCTTTCCCTCCAGTGGCTGTTTTTGGACCCACAGAATTCCCCCATGGGCAGGGACTGGAGGCCTGCCCCTAATTCCTGCAAAAACCCCAAAACCTGCACCATTTAATCCCGAAATTCAGGGAATGTTGATTACATCCAGCTGCAAAGAGAAGTGCTGTGTTTTGGGGATGTGACAACACTGTCAACAACATCAGCTGGCCTGGGCCCATCCAGGATTAGCTGGACATGGATTTTTTTAAGACTTTAATCTCCAAGCTGTGGTCGTGGGCCCTGATTTTTCCCTTGGGAGCATGTTTTGATTATCCTGGTAGATAATCCTTTATCTTTTAGGCATCTGGGAATATAATCCCTTTATAAACAGAAGTTGGAGTGTCAGATGAATAAATTTGGCAAATCCTGGATCTGATTGGTAAGAGAAAAGCAGAAGGGGTGTCACAAATGCTGTTTGTCCCACCTGGAAGAGGTAATCCCCGGGTGGGACGTCGGTGATGTCGATCCACTGGCAGTCGATGTCGTGCCGATAAACGTCCCAGCAGCCAACTGTGATCCCCTGCTCCCCAAAATTGGCACACTCGTACTGTTTCTGCACGTCTAAAGGAGGAGAATCCAGACAAAAAGTGTTAAATCCACAGCAGAATTCCCAGAAAATTCCTGGT